TTTATATGTTTTCCCCGATCAGATCCGATGAGTTAGGTCCTAAAATCATTGAGAATTGAGGGGTGAGTACAACTACTTAATAATCAAGTTTTACTTAATCTATACAGTTGCATATTAATTATAATTACATGTAATTAGGCAAATAATCACAGATAACACATAACACTCGGCCACAGTTTATAAACTAATAACCATGTGACCGGGCTTGCCATAATATACCTATCATATTAATTCACAAAACATAACACAGGGTCACAAAAATAACAACCATGCGCCCTCAACACATGCCAGACTACAAAACTTACAACTATATGGCTAGACTCATATGCATGATCATATGATAACTTTGTATCCTCCTGTTACCTCTAAAACAAAACCAGTGGCTATCATGTGGCTACGTCCATCATGAACTAACCCAGCATTCTACTTTTGAGGAGTTACCAGGCTAGGGTTAACTCACTTACTTATGTAGTTTGGTTTCTCCCAATACTAACAACCATGGGATGTCATACCCCTAATCTAGCCCCCCATGAACTGGTGAAAGCTAGTTAGGTTTGAGTCCCTCATGAACAAGTGTAACAGTTTCGAATTAATAATGAGACAAGGGCTACCTTTTGATTCCAACAGTTGGTGCCAAGGCTAGTTCCTGATTTCAATGATCACTACCAATACCACATGGATTTAAATCAATCTACTTCTCTTCCTAGGCAAACTCCTACCAATGATCATGCTATGCACATTTATCACATTTTATGCATTTCAATAATAAGTTCAAGGCAAACAATCTCACATACTTATTTAAATCACTCCACACATTCAACATATTATTTATCAGAAATCTCCACTTTTGTAACAACATGCCATAAGTAAACTTTTAAATCACAAGTAAGTAACATAATCAACATTTTTCTTTCCCAAAATCATTTCACAAGTCAAACATTACTAGCATGCATCCTACATTTAAATCATTAATCATATTTCACAAACACAATTAATATTCAACCATAAAAGTTAAGTTTCTCCCAGTTACCTCAAATCTTTGAGAGGTCAAAAGTTTACACTCACTATACTAACTTTTGAAAGCTTTAACAAGCTCGAATAGTGCAAAAAATGAACCTCTCTACATCTATACCACAAGAATATCATCATTATCTAACTCTTAAAGCTTTATCAACATATAACTTCACGCACATTATTTTTATCAACTCATAATCTCTACCCATTCATATCCAATAAGCTTATTAAATTTCATTAATGCACATTATCATTAATAATATCTCAAACCATCATTAATGTACATACACCTTTCCCAACTACCTCATAAATATAAATTTTTGGATAATAAATTCTTCCATGAACCAACTACTTTCAAAATCATCAATGTGGTGTTCCAATACATTAAACAACTCCCATTATACTCTTTTTAACTAATGAAATTAGACCCATATTCCTATAGACCAAAAATCCATCTTTCAAGTCAAACCCTACTATAAATCATCATAAATGAGGGAGAGAAAGGAAGAAGGCACTATAAACTTACTTTAGGTGATTGAGAGCTTTAAAATGCCAATAATGGGAGCCAAAGCCATGCCCTAACAGAGCCTAAGTCAAGCTCTTTGTTTCCCTCTGCTCCTCTTCTTTTGTTTTCACACGTAGAACGTAGCTGATATATCATAATTTTGGCCGTGCACTGCAGTGCACGCTACCCTCCACCACAGCGCATGGCATAGAGGAGCTTGTTATTCAAATTTTGTCTCTGTATGTCACGGTGGACCAACCACACATCGTGGCATGTGGCACAAAAAACAATTCTTCACTTTTTCTTCCTCTTTCCTTGCCCGGGTGGCTCGCTATCGATTCGAACCCATTTCTAGGGCTGAAATCATAACAATTATGCCAAGTTAAGCCCCTTTGACCATACACCTCATTAACTCACTAGTTACCTTCATTAGGTTAATAAACTAGGGTTAAATTTTCCCAGACATTATACTATCCATTGTAACATAGATCTAAAAAGGGCAACCATTTTGATATATAGCCTTTACCCAATAAGGCTCACTCTTCCTCACCTTTACCTTAAACCCTTGAGTAATGCCATACTTATCAATGGTTGCTATGGTCTCTTCCTTATTTGCAAAGGTTAGACATACTATAAAAAAGGGCCTTGTATCAAGTCTATTGTCTCTAGTAGGCCTCCTTACCTCCTCCAAAGGCCCAATATCATCATCCAGGCCCAATTTCATATCATCATCCTTATCCTCCTACCCACTATCCTTATCTTCCTCTTTAAATAAGTTATTATCTTCCAAACCATAGAAATCCTTGTCTTCATTGTCAGATTGTTCTTCACTAGATGGCCTATCATTTTCACCATTATCATCAATCATCAACTACAATTCCCTTACCATTGCCTCTAATCTCAACTCTACCTTCAACATTATTTCCAACTTTCCCCTCTCCTCCATCATCAAAAAGCTCAAGTTCATCCCAATCAATTGACACATTCTCCACATCAATTATATCTTCTTCGACCTCTTCACCTTGATTTTCCTCACTTACTTTATTTTCTTCAACTACCTTCTACTTCCCTCAATTACCCTCACCCCCTTTAATCTACTTCCCTCCACTATCTTCACTGTCCTTTCGTGCACTACTTATACCACTTCTACTATCATTACATATTATACTTTCATTTATTAACCCATACCCACCATGTAGCTCATCTCTAACCTCCTCCCATTCTTTTGTTCTCTTATCAATTTCTTTTAAATATTTTCTTAGAGGAATCCTTGTACCTATCTGACTTACTCAAATGATAATACAAACAAAAAAAAGTCACATGCAATAGGGGCTTATACGCGATTTCATTGTGATAATGAAATGCCAAAACACAAAATACATTCTAATTGTTACTTGAAAAAGCAGGCAACTTACTGTGACTCTGATCCTCAATGACCCACAAGATTTTATTCCTCACATGTACTCTACTCCTCCCTAAAGTCCCTAACTTAGCCCTTCATTAGTTCTCCTCCTTCTCGAAACAAATGGATTCAAAGTAAATGTCTTTAGGGTTTGGTCCGATTATGGGTTTGGTTCATAGGTGGGTTGTGATTTCATTACTTTTTTTTTGAAATAAATCTAAGTCAGATAAGTTCCCATTGCCACATGTTGGTCTAGTGAATGAAAAACTCTTGCCATATCCCACTTTGTTGGTCAATAATGATAATTTAATAGTCAACAATATATAAGTTTAACAATGGGTCCATATTGCACCAATTTTGGAAGTTTAAAGGTAATATTTCACCTAAAAAAAGTTTATGGTACCAGCTGCATTTGGGGTAAAAGTTCTCAAGAAAAATTTCCCTTTAACCCTTTTTGAAAATGGCAATGGGATAAAGGAAAAAAAAAAGATAACTAGATGGTTCTTCAAGCCAAGCTTGACAAGCCAGCCTATATATGCTCAAAACATCCAAGGACTGGGCCAGGTGTGAGAGTTTAGAAAATTTTCTCCACTTTAGGGTCATTGGGGTCCCGAATAAGGTTGAAGAAATCTAGGCTAAGCCCCAACCCAAATAGGCATAGCTTTAATATCCAAATTCTTTTTTATTATTAATAAAATTAAAATAAGATAAAAATTGAAAATTGACATTGGCGATAAAATAAAATAATATTTAATAATTTAAGTATTCAAGTCATTCCAAATAAGCCCAAATGCTTGAGGCGTTAAGATCGAGCTTGGTTATATAAGCTTTTTTATATGTTGGAGTATTTTAAGCCTGATGCTAGTAAACTGGCCCTAATAAGCCTGGCTCGCTAACTACCGACTCTAAAATGTTGCATCTTATATAGAGTGATTTTGGAATGGTGTATGGGGGTGTAAGTGACATGTGCCCATCCTCTTTATTTCTTTTCACTTTCTTTGTTTTTTCTTTTTTTCCTTTTCTTAATTTACTATATATATAAGTTTCATATACTTTTGAAAAAATTTACATCATGATCTCATATAACCAAAACATCTTTCATAATTTTCTACAATATTTCAAGCCTCTCATAAATTTTATATGAGTAAAATTAATTTGTAAATTTGCTCCCCATAATATTTAAGTAATTATAATCTATCAAGTGGGGAAAATAATTTACATAATATCATTTAATCCCACTCAAAGTTGTTAACCTTTCTCCTTCTTCTAAAAACATTGCTTGATACTAGGTATCTTTAAAATTTAACCATCTTTCAAAAGTTATTTTTCCTCAAATAATTTTTTGGTAGATTTGAATTACTATGAAATAATCCCATCAAATTCAAATCAATTTTTATAAATATGTAATATTCTAAATTTTCACTCAAAAATTCAATTTCTAATGATTGTTAAAATTAGGATTTTACATCACATCCACTAGGAATTTCCCAGCCAATTTCACCCTTCATTGGCCCACTTTATTTTAGCCCAAACAATTAGATATATAGTTTCATCTTATAAATTTTTTTATGTTTAAATATTACATAACCATGCATAATATATAATTCAATGATACGTCAAGGTAATTAATTGTTTCTAAAAAAATAATTTTTATATAAAAAACTTAAATTATATATATATATATATATATATTACAATAATTTGGCCGCCCAAGTAATGAGACTAGGTCTGCCCCAAAAGTTATTGCTACACTTGTTTTCTACCATCACTTAACATGCCCGTCATTAATTCAGACAACTAGATATGAGTTATATTTACGTGTTGAAACTTCAACGTTAGTAACTTGGTATTAATTAGTTTCACCTAGGCAATTCAATTCAGATGTGTGCCTTCAGCCATCATTCTATCAAGTTGCTAGAGAAACTATCATGTAAATCTAGTATTTCTGTAGTTGATATAGTTGAAGATCATAATGATTCATGCCCTAGATCTCTATAAAATAGATGCAACTCCATCTGAATTTTCAAACTAAGAAGCTTTGTTTTATCATTCCATCCTTGTTTGAAGTAGCACTATACCATGGCCCCTAAGAATCAGCCTCCTCCTCAAAGCCCTAATCCTGATCCAAAGTCGCAACCTCGAATGCCAACCACAACTACGCCGGCTGTTATTCCTCCAAATTCACCTCCTTCATCCAAACAGCCCGCCAATAGCTCTCCAGCAACACATAGCCCAACTCCCAATCGGAATCCATTTCCTCCGAATCAGAAACAGTCTACAACTAACCCTAATGAAACCCCAAGTACTGAAAAACACACAAGTCCTCTTCCATGTCCTCCATCCCAACAGCCTCAAGCTGCTTTTCCTCCAAATGAGCAGCAGGTTATGACTGCACCTGTTTCTTCTACAAATGATACTGCTCAAACCTCAAGTACCGAAAAGGTATTTACTCCTAACAGTAAACTTCTTCCAGCCCAACAGACAACTTTTTCGTCCCAAGAACCTAGTGATAGCCTAAGCACCCAAAGTGTTTCTCCTCCTAATAATAAAACACTTCTGTCATCCCAGCAACCTATGAACAATGATCGTCCTCCAAGTGAACCTCTTAAAGAAAACCCTACTCCAGCCACATGTACCAGCAAAGTTGATAGTTCAAATGAGTCTAAAAGTAAGTCACCTCCCAAATAACTCTCAGACTCTGAAAGTTCCTTGACCATAGAATCGTAATGAAGTACCCCAGATAACGAAGGTGAGATGGCTTGATAAAGAATAATGCAATTGTGGCGTGCGTGTTTGTTTGTCTATATGTGTGTATTTGCATCAATGTATCTTGGCGAATCGATCTCCTTTGTGCTTGTTTTGTTGCATAATAAATTTTGAAACTTTGGTCTATTGTAAATTTATGGACATTGATCCCAAAATTAGTTAATTTATCTTTATCCCTTAGATTGAAAAATATAATGAAATTTACCCCTCCACTACGACATAAGATGAATTTTCACCTTGCTTGATCTTTAAATAACATTTATATGGTTAAAGTATTATATATAGATATCATATTTTAGTACTGTACGTCTCTCTATTTTGGATTATTAATTATATTTTTATAAAGTATTATCAATTATCATTTAGAATTATGCACGCAGGTTAAAGAAGTGTTTAAACAATTTAAATTGTATCAAAATCTAATGGCCAAACTAAATTACTCTTATATTGAAAATATGAAAATATTGTAGCACTTGAGTCCCACATATTAAATGGGGTGGCACATTAACTTATATTGGTACGTAGTTCGCTTGGAAATTGTCAACAAGAATTAATGGGCAAAGAGACTTAGTAGTCTTCCATTTCAAAATACTTCCTCCACTCCGTAGTGTAAGATACTTTGATCGATGCGTATCGTGAATGTTAAGGAAATTTAATTTTTTTAATAAATCTCACGAAAAGTTGACTTGTTTTTACCAATTTTACCATTATACAAAACTAATTAACATGCACAATTTCTCATGCATAATTACTCAAGTTACATTAACTAACGTAGGGGTCAAAATGGAGAATTTTTCTTGTAACCAAAAAAATGTTCTATACATTTTAAACCAACAATTACTTGTGGAAAATGTCATACATTATGAGCACATCATGTACCGAAGAGTAACTGTTTGAGGTCATGATAACAGTGTAATAAACTTTTTTCTACCAATAAAATTAAGAATGTTTTAAAATAGTTTATATTATAATACACATTCTGGTCCTAAATATAAAACCTAGTCAACAAATTCATGGATATTAAAATTGGTTATTTACTTTTATTGGGGTAAAATGTCCAACTTTTCTCAATATATATATATATATGTCCTTTTAATGAGGCTATTAAATGTGGAAAACAAATAGAGTAAGAAAAAAGGAATAACAAAATATTAAAGTCCTTTATTCAGGATCAAAACAAATATCTCAACTAAGACTTATATATGGGATTGGAAGAAGTAAAATTTGATGTTATTTTCTCCATCTAGTCGCGGATGCAGTAGCCTGGGCCTAGGAGGCATAAAGGATACAAAATGTAAAAATAATAAAAAGACAAATTAATATATTTTTTATTTTTTATAAAAATAATCTAAATTTAAATTGAGAGTTTTCAAAATTTGAAGTAACACGGGTAAAATATCAGAGTCATTCCACAATATATATATATATATATATATATCAAAGACTCAATTTTTATAATGTAAATATGTTTTATTTTCGATAGAGTGAGATTGAAATTATAGGAATAATGAGAGCAAATTATCAAAAATTGTCATGAATATTTATAAATTTTTTAATGTTGATTTGGGGCATTTTACCACCTTAATTGCATGCAGGTTCACCATTGATAATAAATATAAGACCTAATTGAAGTATTTGTTTTAATCCAAAAATAGGACATTTATTTAATATTTTTAATTTGATTATCCTGATTAATTTTACAGTTTTCTCGCTCATATTTTTCACTTATTTAATACTTTCTCTCTTTGGGATGTTTTAGGAAACATAATAAACATTTATAGGATTAAATTTACCCCTTTACTACGTACCACCTGAAATCAATTTCCGCCTTGTTTGAACCTTAAATAACATTATAGGATTACACATGGAGATCATATTTTAGTACTGTCTATTTGTTTTAAATTATTAGTTATTGTTTAGAATTATGTACACAGGTTAATGAAGGGTTTAAACAATTTAAATTGTACCAAAATAAAATGACCTCAGTAAAATACGCTTATATTAAAAATATGAAAATACTATGATACTTGAGTCCCACATATTAAATGGGGTAGCACATTCACTTATATTGGTATGTAGTTCGACTGCAAGTTGCAGTAAGAATGAATGGGTGAAAAGAATCAATTGTCTTCCATTTCAAAATACTCCCTCCTTTCCATAGTGTATGATACACTACTACAGAATATATCTTTAGGAGCGGGTATTTAGGAGCGCTTCTTTAAAAAGCGCTCTAAAACGTGAATGCGGAATTTACTGGAGCGCTTTTTTAAATAAGCACTCCTGTATGTCAGAGCTTCTCAATAAGATAACGCTCCTAATTAATATAAATAAAATATTGTAAAAAATTTAAAAAGACCTTCGGGAGCCATCGTAGTTATGTGCTCCGAAAGACTATCTTCCGGAGCGCTCTTTGACGAGCGCTGCGGAAGATCAACTCTTTCAGAGCGCTCTTGGAATGAGCGCTCCAAAAGAACTCATCTTCCGGAGCGCTCTTTTAATGAGCGCTCCAAAAGAGTTGATCTTCCGGAGAGCTCATCAAAGAGTGCTCCGAAAGAGAGATCTTCCGAAGCGCTCATTAATGAGCGCTCCAGAAGAGGTGGTCTTTTATATCTCTGCCTCCCGTTAGTTTTCTTATCCCTATTCATGAGTTTCTTTCAAACCTCTCTCTCATTTGCTGAGGTTGTACGTTCCCAACAAGTTCCAGATCATCGCTGTATCAGTCTATCTTCCGTCGCTGTTTGCTGTTCCAGATTGTCGTCCGCCGCTGTTCACTGTTCCAGATCGTCGTTCGCCACTGTTCGCTGTTCCAAATCATCGTCTGTTGCTGTTCGTTGTTCCAGATCAGTGTTCGTCGCTGTTCGTTCATTTTTGTGTCAAGTCGCACCATCTGTCTCTGTTTTTGCGCTGCCGTCGCCGTCGCCGTCACCGCCATCTCCTGCATCACTATTCCAGATCTGCATTACTGTTCCAGATCTATGATGCTGCTGTACACCGGAGGAAGCGACGCCGTGAAGACCTCCGTTGCAGCCGTGTGTCATTGCTGTACAGCCGAGGAAGCAACGCCGCAAAGACCTCCGCTACTATCGTGAAGACTGCACTGTAAAGGTATTTTTTTAATAATTAATTTATAATGTAATATATTGATATATTTATATATATTTGAGAATAAATTTCATATATATATTTTTTAATAATCAATATTATAGATAATATATGAATTGAAGTTATTTATATTAGAATTATGGAGTATTTGTAGTTGATAATTAGATTAAAGTTGAGGAAACTACTTGAACATTTTTATTTTATTTATGAAATATACTTTTAAGGGAGATTATTGTTATTAATTAAATTACAATTGATTGACAGAATTTAGATGCATTATGCTACTAAATTTTTATTTGGATGAATTAATTTTTTTAGTTTAAATGTATTGTGTTGTGGAATTTGATTGTTTCATCATTTGGGAGGTTCTTCTTTTAAGGAAGATGTTGTTGAATTTTTTTTTATAGAAATCTAAGTCTTTTGTTTATTGAATTTTGATAATCATATTAGTGATATGGATCATAAGTGGATGTCGGCTAATCGACTATCTAGAGAATATTAGGATGGTGTAGATTAATTCATTGAATTTGTATTTTGTTGTGATCAAGACTCCCCTGGAGTCATATGTCCTTGTTTGAAATGTTGCTATGGAAAAAGAGTAAAGCCAATAGAATTGAAAGATCATTTAATCTGTAATGGGATTGATCCAACTTATACTTGTTGGACCATGCATGGGGAGACAAGGAATAATGCAAATGATTTGAGGGATAGTGCAAACTACTCAACATTTGATCGTGATAGTGGGACATATGATATTGACCGTCTTGATGAAATGATTCATATATATAACTTCATCGCTGAAGTATTTTAAATTAAGTTAGAATTTATTTCTACCATATTTTGATAATGACATCTTTTTATTGTTTTATAGGTAGGTACCTACACAATTACAAGGTTGGGAGTGTGGATACTATGTTATGAAGTTTATGAGAGAAGTAATCACACAACAAGAGTTGATCATTCCTGAAAATGTAAGTCAAAAGTTTTGAAATTAAGTTGATATAATGTTAATTACTTATATATTGCTTTCATATCTTGTGTAGTATTTTTTTGGAGTAAGATGTTCGCATTTTACCATAGAGCAAATAGAAGATTTAGTTGAAAAGTTGTTAGAATATATTATTGGCTGTTTGTAATAGGAAGTTATATTTCAATGTTAGAAAAATAATAATAGTTTCATTTTTTAGGCTTGTTAGAAATTAAACTAGGTTAGTTAGGAAATTGAAATTGTTGTATCAGTTTCAAATTCTTTTCTTGTATATAAATTTTTATATTGATATTATTTTTAAATTAGTTCTTGATATTATGATTTGCCATTGTTAAAGAGACGTAAAAGGAGAAATTTCAAAAAATCTGATTTAAAAAAAATTAAAGTAATATACGGGAGCGCTCATTTGAAGAGCGCTCCTATATGGTTCATACGGGAGCGCTCTTTATAAAAGCGCTCCGGTATGGTTGCATACGGGAGCGCTCTTTACAAGAGCGCTCCCGTATGTGCTCCCTTACGGAGCGCTCCCATATAGCGTATATACAGGAGCGCTTTTTTTAAGCGCTCCTATACATTTAGGAGCGCTCGATACGAGAGTGCTTCAAAAGCGCTCCCTAAAGTAAAAAAAAAAAGCGCTCCTGTAAACTTATTTTGTAGTAGTAATACTTCCCATTTGTATCATGAATATTAAGGAAATTTAATTTTGTTATGAAGCTCATGAAAAGTTTACTTCTCTCACCAATTTTACCTTTACACACAAATAATTGACACCCAAAATTTCCCATTCATAATTACTCAACCTACATTAACTAACAAGAATGAGTGAACAAAA